CATTGTATAAACCGTATACTAGAAGAAAAAAGATACACAATTATTTTACTTGAACAGTATATCATTAATACTATAGGTATAAAGTACACTGAGTAATTAACGATAAAGGTAATACTAGATATTTCAAACACGTGGCCTTAATTCAAAGTGAAAAAAAAACTAATTCAAATAGATACACATAAACATGGTGCCAAAATTAAGTGATCTTCATTTTCATCTCATTGATGGTTTCAAAACATAAAAAAAAAATATAAAAAAAAATGTTGAGAAACTCTTTAAGTAATAATTAATTATTTTTTATGGTCTTCATTGATTTTATAATTGAAACGAGACATATTTTATAGAATTATAAAAACAAAAATCAAAAGATTGAGCATTATAATCAATTGATAACAAATAAATTAATGTTCAATTTACTAGAAGTAAACAAAACATATTTCATATTTTAAAAATTAAATAAATTAAATCCTACATTTTGTTTTAGTTGAAAATTCCATGATACATTATTCTCTATCCAAAATCTTTCTTAATTTAACTTTTAAAATTATTATTCCTATTTTTCTTTAAAATATATATTTATTGGTTTATTCTATATTCAGTCTATTCATAAGTGATGTATTAGTCTCTGACACTTTTAAAATTTCTATTAAAATATTTAAGTTAATAATAATTAAGATAAACCAATTTATATAATATTATTATTATAAATACTGAATCCATATTATATATATATATTTTTTTTTCTTTTTTGTAGCTAAATTTGCCAAAAACATTTAGTTTTCCAAGAAATACAAATAAAATTATTTATTCATTTTTAAAACTTGTGATATGAAAATAAACTTAATTTATTCAGAAATAATTATTTGAAGCAAATTTATTATAATTGTCTAATTTTTATCTATCAAAACATGAATTGAATTCTAATCCTAGTAATTACCAATAACTCGATAACTAGAGCGCAGATTTCTATGCAATTGCATATTTTTTTCCTTTTAATATTTTTGGATTTTTGTCAGTTATCTCCACGGATTATCATAATTTGAAGCTAATGGTGAAATTTTTTATTTTTGCATATTTCTGCATATTTTGGCATAATTCAAAATTTATTGCATATTGAAGCAAAAATTTAAAAAAATATATAGGATAATATTTTGTCAAGTTGAATGATTTAAAATTTATATCTATTCATTTGGCATTTTTAGTGATAGTCATAAAAAAAACTGGAAACTCGAAATATGACTTTACATCTAAGCTTTTCAATAATTGACGAAACGAAAGAAAAAATGCATTCTATTTCTGGATCGAAAGGTGTAACACTTACAACAAAATTAAACGAGCTTTCCAATAAAAATGAAGGTCAGAAAATTCTACGAAAAATTAATTTAGTGTTATTAGGCGAAAACGTTCAGGTTGAAGATCTTTATCAAGATCCAACAATACTAAGTTGCTTCAAATATGCCCCAATAACTTCGGTTGACGTCAAACGTTCGTTCTCAGTCTTTAAAAACATGTTAATCGATAAACGATACAACTTCACAGAAGAAAAACTTGAATGCATATGATTATTCATTTTAATAATAAATAAAGTTTAGAAAATTCCCTTAATTGTTTATTATTTAGTATTTAAGTAATTAATTATTATAAGTTTTATTATAAATTTTAAATAAATAAAAAATTCTTGCATATTTTTGCATATTTTCATAGTTTTGACTGCATATTTTCATGATTTTTACTGCATATTATATGGCATATTTCGATTCTTTTAAGTGCATAAAAATCAGCGCTTTACTCATAACTTTACCCAAAAGTTAGATCAATGATTATTGATCATTTCAAATTTCCAGTGAACTTTGTATTCAATAAACCAGTTGTTTTAATCATACATACAACTTTGTAAACCCAATAAGCAGAGCTAATACACAGTATAGAAGATGAATTGAAGTGTTAAATGAAAGGCAATAAGTAATAAAAAGACTCAAGAGAAATTTTCACAATTTATGATTGGCAGTTTTAACATAGAAGTGAACTAAATGAACATATATTATTTAAAATACTAAATAATAAATCATAATTTTGGTAATCTACATAGTTTGATCTATTTTGTACTTTTTTTATACTTGACAAAATAAATTGTATATTTAAATGTGAATTATTTAATATTACATTAGATATATTATTTTACTATCTCATATTTATTTTTCTTTATTTATATTAAATAATAGCCTGTGATTATACTTGTGATTGTACAATAGAAATATAGAAATAAATAAATGGTAGATATTTATTTAAACTTGAATGATTTACCCAGGCCAGTATTTAAATTATTTTTAACTTGACCAAATAATAACACTTAGTAGTCTGATAAAATTACGATACAATGTCAATAATGGATTAAGGTCTAGAATATATTTATTTTTTTTGGAAGGGGTGAATAACATGGATGCATCAAACGTTCAATCTCATGCAAAAAAGTAGTGTCCTATTTATTAAGTCAATTTTTAATGAAAAATATCAAGTGAATAGTATACTTTTAAAAGGACAGAGAGATTAAAACTGATAGTGTTTTTATAAAAAAAATAGTATCTAGTTCATAATTTAAAATTATCATATTACAATTTGAATATTTGTACAATTTATCTAAAGCTTATCAAATTCTTATGAAATTTAATAACTAAACTTATTATACCTACAATTTTAGTTTAGCACTTAATAATCATAACTTAATAAAACTACTAAATAACAAAATTAATAATAAAAAACAGATAAATGTCTCACCAATATCAGCAAGTTTAGTTTCATTGCTCAAGACGCGACCACAAAATATCAATCGTTGTTGAACAACCGCGACGTTCACTTGTGCTGCAATGTACTCTTTGAGTTCTAGTATGGTGAACTAGTAACAACAACAGATACAATAGTATATATAACAGGAAATAAAAACAACAATTTCTTGGGGAGAAACAAGACTTACAGTGTCTGGAACGCGGAATTTATGATTCTGCGAATCCAACGTTTTGATTGTTAAATCAATCATTTTGTTGTTCTCGGGTGTACTATTCTCGGTGGTCCTGGAAAAAATTTTTTTATAAACCACTAATGTGACAAAAATGTAGACGGGACTTCGATACAATGGATAAATAAAAGAAATCCATAGAGCACGGACCTCAGTAATTGTAAGACGCACGGCGTAATCACCAAGATAGTAATAATATGCTTTGACGGTGTTTAATCAATACGATGATAATGCGCCTACACAATGAAAAAAGCAAGCAAATAAGCTCGCGATTTTTTTATATCGGTTGTACAGCGAACGAGAGTTTTGCGCTATTATCGTTGTTTGAACATCGTTCCGCGGAAGTTTTGCGACACATACGGCTTGAAAACACCAAGCACTCAAAAAACAAATTCATACGAACTCAGCAGAAATGCATCGAAAAAAGGCGAAACAGGGCAGACCGTAGAGTATTCGCAGTAGCGAGTGTGGCAGACGGCAGTATGGCGATCAGGCGAGTGGAAGGGAGAGAAATATAAAAGAGAATACGAAATTACGAAATATATATATTGGTGATAAACCATGGAGTAACAACGAACAGCGCAAACATAGGGAAACACTGTTGCCAACTATTGAGAAAAATACGGACTTAGCGGGATGTGACGCCGCGCAATATTCTAATACTAATTACTAAGTACAAATCTATATTGTAAAGTAACAGACCATCACAACGCATTGTACCTATTTTCAGTATAATTATTGAATTTAAAACCAAAGCCAAAGTCAAAATATAAATATGTTATATATTAATATGTACATAAATTACATAATCAATTGTATGGTGTCAATACATTAAATATTAAGCAATATTTATCTTTTATAACATGAACCACAGCTATGGATAATCTTTAATCGTGGTATTAGCTATACATTTTTGTAATCATTGATATAGAATTTTGAATACGGCGTTGTAAAAACAATAAATAATATCTTAAACAAACATAACTGACAATACTCATACCATTTGAAACCACTAGATATCAACATAAACTATTATACACGGAATTAATTAAATAATACAATAAAATTATTTAATACGCAACATTGTCTCAACAATAAATATTCTCACATTTAAATTATAAGTTTTTTTTAACATTCAGAGTTTCAATGCAATCAAAACTTTCGTTACTTCTACAAAATTAACCTAAAAGAGTACATTTAGTAAAGATAGAAATTGAAAATGCCGTATCCAAACATACAATATTATAGATAGATTTAATGTAATGAATTTTAGTATTACTTACGAATTGTCTTCCGACTGGCCCGAATGACTTGAACAAATACACGACAAACCCATTTTAACGTATTATATTGCTACAGTACAGTAATTTGGATTTATCGATTAGATTATGAAATGGATAATATCATTCACAACGTAATCACATAAATAAACCACAAAGAGCAACTAACTTATAACTTATTACTTAAGTAAGCCGAGCCGGCACTGGCTCTCCTTAAGTACTAAGCAATAAGGTCGAAAACTCAAAACACCGTGTGGTCGTACCTATAGTGTGAACTGTGAAGTGAATCACGATTAAAAAATATAGCCGTCAAGAACAGTTTGTATAATGAAATGTAATAAAAAGAGAATATAAATCACAGTATCGGAGATTATATAAAAATTATTTTCTGACAATAAATTTTGAATGTTTAAAATTTATAAATATTTAAGAATATTAACTGTAATATATTTGTTCTATAATTTAGTATTTTAATATTTAAAAATTATAATTATTTTATTGTTATTAAAAAAAAAAACCAAAACAATAAATTTGGTTCTTTGATTCTGTTAATTGGTAACAATACATCATATCATAGAATATGTAACAACATGAAAGCAAAGACCTTATAATATAAGGACTATGCATAAAAGATAAAACTGCTGATAACAATGACAAAACTCATGTCTCTAATGAATAATGATAAACCTTGAAAGAAAAGTAAATTTCGTTTTATGACACAGCCCATGGCTAAAAAGCATATTATTTCAATTATTCTTATAGTGATAGTATTACAGTTTTGTTATAATCAAATGTGTAATTAAAGTTCATTATGAATTTATGACTAATTAATATTTCTTTTTCTCTACAATTTTGTTTTAATCCGATATTATTCGTATTTATTTAATTTATGATTGATTGCATTTATAATCGATGGAGTTCAATGATTACTACAGTACTCATAAAAGTAGCGCAAATGAAGAAGAAGCATTACTAAAGCGTTTAATTGCTCTAAAAAGTACGTATTAAGCATTTGAACTTAGGTTTTTTATTCTGCAATTTTATTTATATATATTTTTTAAATTGTTTTCACTATGATTATCTTTATTCATACATGGTTCATACATGTATTACCTTGTTAGGTACCTAATTAATATTATGTGTAACAAATCAACATTATTCAGATTACATTTTCAATTGTGCTTTAATTAAACTTTTATAGTAATTAAATTATGTTGAACTATCAATAAATATTTATGTTGAAAAACCATTTATATTGAAATTTTTATGAAATAAGTAACTAATGTTCTATAATTGGGTCGAGGACAATATTTTAGCCAACTTTCAAAAAGTGCTCAATTCTTTAATTTTTTCAAACAATATTGTTAACATGTTTTGTATTGAGATTACAATGTCTATATACCAAAAATGAGGTTAATCTTTAATTTAATTTTCCAATTTAAATTAAAGCTAAATTCAATCAATGTTGTTGTCTATTATGTTATTTTGTTAAAAATATCAAAATTTGTAATATTTACTTAATTTTTAGTGACACTCATAGTCACAGACCACACAGTTGCACATAGGGTAATTTTTTTATTTTTAAATAATAATAATTTTAATAACAATTTATTAATTACCAACTATTGATTATTATTTTAAAAATGTTAAAACATTTTTTTATACTTTACTAAAGTAAATTTATTGTTGTATACAAATTAATTTGTTTTAATTTTTGTATATTATCCAAATTATTTTTTAACATTTTTGAAAATTTACAAAATAATTATTTAAAATAGACTCTAATGAATAATTACCCCATTCACGTCACTGAAGATTAAGAATAAATGAAATAAATTATCATACTCAATGACTTATCTTTATCAGTTCATAATATTATACAATCCATTAAAATTATTGCTATTAAATACCAATAGAACCAATTTATATGATTTATTTTGTTAATTTTTTTTTAGAATATTATCAATAAGATCAATATATATTATATACATTTTAATATTTGTTTAAAAATTTAAATTTGATAATTTAAAATAAAGTATGTTTATCCATTATAATTTGTATATTATTTTTCTAATGGATTAGACAATTTGTATTCTTCATGATGTTTTAAAACTTAAAGTTAGTTTTATGGACTGTGTATATGTTATCATTTGTATATTTTTATGATTTTTAACCCAAAATGTATTGCACTATCTATAGATTAGAAAACTTTTATAAATTTGTTATTCCATAATTTGTTTTAATCAAAATATGTTTTTATTTATTTAGAGCAGCTAGATGATGATGATGATGATAATGACGATAAACCAAAATTACAACAAACTCTTAATAATGTTAAAGAAAATATTGTAACCAATAAGGATATTAAATTAACATCAAAATTTAAGTATCGCAAGGATAATAATCATATAGCTAATAAATTCCTTTCTACCAAAATAGATAATCGTAATTTTACTAATCAACAAAATAAAATTAAACAAAATAGTTTATTTGCTAAGACTAATAATTCTTCTAAAGTGTATACCAAACAAAATGTGTTGCATTTTACTTCTATCAAAACTGTTACAAGCAAAAAAAATCCTGAAATATCAAATAATAGTCAAAATATTACTAAGTTTAATTCAGAAATTAATGAAATTATGAAAAACAGCTTTGTTAATAATTGTAAATTATCATCAAATGATAATTGTTATGAAACTTCTGATGTTTCACAAATATTACATAATGTTGATAAATATATGATTAATGTTCAAGATTATTTAACTTCATCAAAGTATGTCATTAATAAAGAAGTGAGCTCTTCATCAACTAAAAAAACTAATCAATCAAAAAATGTTCATGTCAATAGAAAATTTCAAAACCAGTTAATTTCTAATAGTTTGTTAAATTCAAACTTAAAAAGTTTACCGAATTCTTTAGTATCTATTAATAAATCAACAAGTATAAATAAGAAAAAAATAATAAAGAAATTGTCTGGAAAAACTATTGGATCACCTAATCTTGTAAAGATAGGTAACACAAAATTAATTCGTCAATCATTATTTAGAAACAAATGGAAAATCAACAATAAAATTAATTGCGTTGAAAATAATGCAACTGAACGTAAACCACTCTCAACATTACAATGTCCATCATCAAATACGTTAATTCCATCTTACAAAAAAACAGAATGGACTAAAGTTACTAACTCAACGCCTGTACTTAAATCTAAATTATCTAACACCAGTAATACTAATAAGTTAAAATGGACAAGACCCAGTATATTACTGGTTAATAATGTAAAAAATAATACCCATACTTCAGTACCAAAGACTGATAAATTAATTTTATTTGGCAAGAATAAAATAATTAGACAATCATTAATAAATCCAATTCAGTCAAAACCTAAATCTTACATGCTCAAACATCTTTCACATAGATTTGCTTTAATAAGAAAATTACAGCAAAAAAACATTGTTGCTAAAATAAAAACTGTTACAAACAATGAACAAGTAAAAAATATGTTATTAAAAAATACTTTATTTAAGCCAATTGAGATTAAAAAAAATGGAAAGGGGTCGTATTCTGTGTATTCATATGTAAATCCAATATTAAGGTAAATACTTTTAAAAGAAAACCAATACGCTTTAATTATGACTTGACATTGTTTTTTAGATCAAAAACATATAGTTATAAGTTGGAAAAAACCGGATCTTCAAATAATAAAATACGCTTGCTTAATATTTCTAATAACAAACCTCAACAAAATTTGAAAATTATAAATAATGAAAAAAATAAAATTCAAAATTTAAGTTTAACAAATAATAAAACCCTCCAACGACTCAAGTATGTTAAATTTCATAAAAAAAATAATGAATTATTAATTCATTTAATTATTTCTTATTTCTATAATAAAAATTTATTTTTCAGAAGTAAAAAAACACTCACTAAACAGCTTTGCTTAGTATTTAATCGCTTCGGTGTTTGTTCAAAATTGGATCAAGGAGAATGTGATAAGCGTCATTACAAAAAATACATCACATTATGCACCAAGTTGGCTAATTTAATTAAAATGTATTACTAAATTAAATTTCTGCTTTAACATTTTTTTTTTTAGATTTCTAACAGGAGAATGTTTTAAAGAGAATTGTACATTATCACATAATATTGTAGAAGAAAAAATCCCATTTTGTAAGCATTATTTAAATAGTGTTTGTGTTCAATTAAATTGCCCATATTTGCACGAATATAGAAGTAAAAACACTCCTATTTGTAAAAAATTTCTTGATGGTTCATGTAATTGGGGGAAAAAAGTAAGTTAATTTTCAATTTTGTTTTATTACGTTTTTAAATATTTATTTTTAGTTTTAAAACATGTGATTTGGCGGAAATATTCATAGTTATTTTTTTTTCACCATAATTTAAGTGCCCTAAAAAACACTTGAATCTATGTCCAATTTTTGAAACAAAGAATGAGTGTCCACATGGTCAAAAATGCCTATACCCTCACATTCCATGTGAAGAGAAAAATACTGTTGTTGAAATCAATGAACCAAGATACTTTGAGATATCAATACCCAATAATATTGAATCAAATGAAAACGAGTCCATTCATATTGTACCCAAACGCCGTGCACCTTTATTGGACTTACCATCTTTTATACCATTAAAAAAACAGTAAGTATTTTGTAGTATGTATGTGATTATATTTTCCACAATATGCATTAAATATATTTTAATAAATTAATAATTGAATGCATCTAGGATAATAATGTGATGTTAATATGGTATACTATATTTCTTTTCAAAAACTAAAAAGCTTTTTTAAATTATATATTTATATTTTGCATTATTTCATTAGAACTATTAAATTTGTTAGCTAAAGAAGATTTAGTCAATTAGATAAATAAAATCTACAAAAATTATTACATAGTTTATTTATTAGATAAAGTTTCATAATTTATTTTAGCCTCCAATATACTTGATCAATTTAAGTAAAAAAATTTAACATTATACTAATACATAATATATAGGGAAATATATTTTTAAGATGTCAGGTTTCTGAAAATACATAATAACATGTCTTAATACATTTATAATCTTGACATCAATTTAATATTATTTTTAAAATTTTAATTCAAAAAAGGGTAATTTTACTTTCTGTAGTAATATTTTAAATATATATACATATAATTCAAAGTTTATTCATTCAATTATAAAATGCTATAGTCATGAAATCTAAATATTTATTCCATTGTGAAATATCATAATAATCATGTTTAAACTACAGTTTAGGAAATTATTAGACACAATTATGTTTTAAACATCATATTATATTATTTTATAAACAATGTACTTTTATGATTTTATTAATGATCATATCTCTTATTGAATCAATATATTTATAATCATAATTTTGGATATAAATTATATTATTTTGTTTCAGATAAGTTATCTACAATTATATAGATATACTTTTAGGCAAATGTTCAATACCAAAAAGTCTGGTATGTAAAAAGTTATTATTTTTAATTTGTACATGTGTATGGACCACATGATTAAATATCCAATTAAAATAATTATTGGTAAACATGTTTTTATACATATATTATAGAAGAAGACTGGTATGTTTGTATCATAAAATGTTTGTTATTTTATTTTAAGAGAAAAATTTAATAATTGCTGAAAAAAAATATTTTTCTCAAGAAATATATTTTTATTGTATGTTTCATTTTTTTTTTATTTTCTTAGAATTCATAATAATTGTTAAATTTGGTATTTACTATTGTTTATTTTATTGAATACGACAATATTAAATATATGGTTAAATTGAATTCCTAAGTTAAATATGTCATTAATTTAATGATTAAAAATTTTTCTTTTGTATCCGTAGATTTCAAATTTAATGTATTTTTTATTACATTGAATAATCTATGAACATTTTTTTGTTTTCAGAGATTTTGCATTAAGATATAACATTTTAATGTTAAAATTTTGCATAAAATATAAGTTCAAATTATATAATGATGTTCAAAATTATGAAAACTAATCTACAGTTAGTTGACGAAAACTGCCAACCATGTGATGGTGATTGTGGTTTGTCAACGCTGATACTCGCCCTTGTCTTGCACCCTCGCTAAACATTTCCTCTCTTACAGACATTTTTTCATTTTTGAGTATTTGTTCTCGTTTTTCTAACAATTCTTGTTTCCATAAATCTATCATAATTATTTAAATAAATAAAACGTTGATTACAAAGTTATGTGTTTAAAAAATTAACTTACCTATCATTGTTGACATTTCCATTTCTCCACCATATTCTTTAGGCAATAATGATTTATCTACAAATGTGTGGCTTTCCTCTATTGAACTAAATATCTGGGGAATGATTATCAAGAGTTATACATAGTAATTATTATTTGATGTTATATTAATTATTTGTTTGTTACTTTTACACGACTTCTAATTTTTTCAGATATCAAGGTCATTCCAAAATCTAATGCAAATTTTAAACTCAATGGTACATTTACTCCATATATTTCTTTGTGTCGCATTGGAAGTGTTCGCTAAAAATAATTGATAAAAGAAATATTTATTTTTATAAAATAACAATTTTTATTACTATTATTATTATTTTAGGTATAGCTTTTAGTTAGCAATATTACAGCTCAAAAAAAAAAAAAAAATCTATAGTATACAAGAAGATAATAATCTTGTTAAAGCAATACGGAGAAGATAAAAAGTACAGATTAACAGTTTAAGACAAATCATTATATTTTATCAATATTTTAAAATTGCCAAAAATGTGACATTAGGTATAAAAGTGTATATCTTATTTATATATCTATATTATGTAATTTATGTACAAAATAAATTATATAATTTCAATTTAAAAATGTTGTATTTTATAAAAAAAAAATTCAAGTACCTCTCCGTTTTTAACAATTCTGACAGCCTCTCTTGGTGTAAATAATGTAAGTTGTTGTAAGCTCATACCCGCAGCGTCTGTGTAGTGTACAAACCCACGAATTTGGTTTTCTTGGTCTTCCATCAGTGTTTCATATGTAACACCATGCATTCTACACATTTCTGCATTAGTCCATATTGACGGATTGAAAACTCCTTAAAATATTTTAAGTATTGATAACTAAATCCGTTATATACAGTGCATTGGAAGTCCATTTCAGGAAGTATTAAGTCTTTTAAAGTATATGAATCCTATTCTAAGTATATTTGAATATATACCTATTCTGAATATATTTTTTGAATAGTTTAAAAACTGTATATATGTACCTATTGGCAGGGCCGACTTTAGATACGATCGACGTATGCGACGAAACAGAAGCACGCGAGGCGCGTTAAAATTAGAATAAAAAGAGTGAAGTGTACTCAAATAATTCTTGCATAGGGCGCTGAAAAAGCTAGAGACGGCCCTGTCTATTGACCATTACACATAACTATATAGTATAAAGAATGTATAGTTATGTACTTATCTACAGAGTACAGAAGTAATATTTTTATGTTAATTGGGTAGGTATGTAAAATGTAAATCTATTTAATACTTAATATTAACTGTTGAACTATCGTATATTGTATTTGTTAAGTTTCTAACTGCAAAATATTTATTAGGCTGTTAATTAAGTTGAAATTTAATTTATAGTTATTATTTATTATAAGTATTAAGAACTTGTGGAAGGACTCAAACAATCACGCATATATAATATATATTTACTTGACCTGGAACCCCCGTGTAGGTATATTTAAAATCCAAACTTTGTCTTTGCACATATTATAAGTCAATTAATATCCAAGGCCATTGTATAATGTATAGTGATGCAAAGAAAGTGCAAAAAAAAACAATAGCAACAATTTAGGTAGGTATGTAACTATTATGGCCTTGTCATTTCAGTCGCATACCTATTTATACCTAATTTATTTACAACAAAATAATCACTTAGGTATCCATTTATGATTTATCATATATTTAAATAGCGTTTTTCAGTAAAGTAGTATAACCACCTAGAGCCTATAGAAATCAGGAGATTAAGGTCCCTTAAATATAAAAATGAAATTATTAATTATGATGATGCTAGAAAAAATGTAATAATAAAAACTAATAAAACATTACAATAATAATATTATAGTTAGTTGTACTATTTTCAAATTTCTTAAAAACAATTACATACTTTAGGTACCTAAAAAAAACTTTTTAAGCCTTAATTTGATTAAAAAGAATAAAGTTCTTGCAGTTTTAATTTTTTAATGCCACGAAGTAGGTAGGTACCTACTACAGTCCTCTAATAATATAACATGGATAAACCTGATGTTGGGCTCCGACAGATAGCCACTGGTAATTTGTGGTTTGATTCGAATGGCATGTATTCGGTATAGTCGTATTGAGTAAAGGTTAACTAATAGTTTATTTTAAATCGTAGGTATTATATATATTATAATATAGGTAATATACTTTGCGTGTTGCAAACTTATAACTTAAAATTAATGTATAATATTAATATATCTACTTATATAACCATAATAGTATAATAATAATAAAATTATAGTTATACCAATTCAGTGAATCAGTACCTATCTGTATTTAAAGTTAAAGAAGTCCTGTTTCAGTGGAGTCGTACAAATGTGATCTGTAATTCGCAATTTTAAAGGTAGATGAATTGAACTATTTATCTATACTGTCTGCATAGACATAACTCTATGCGGTGACTTGTAGGAAGGGAGAAGACTACGTCCAAAATATTTTTGTAATTTTTTTAAAATACATATTGGATATTATTAATTTATGAAAAATGTTCTTTTCAGTGAGCTGAAAAATTGGTTATCAGGACGAGTATGTTATAGCTTGTAAAATTGTCATGGTTCCTTAATTCGACTTAAACATTTTAAATTTACCTATTGAAGAATAATGTTTAACATACCTACATAATTTATGAATAATATAATTCAAATTTGTTGTTTAAAAAATACAAATACCTATGATAATATGATATTAAATAAATAAATAATGTCAATGAAGATTTATTAAATTATACAAATAAAATACAAATATCAATTTAAATTTATATTTTTTTATTAACTGCGTAAATTTATGCAGGTACATAAAAAACTCAGTAGAAAGGTGTAAGGAAAATTTTTCAACAGATTAATAATGAAAAAATATAAGGACTACAACAGAAAAAAATTTACATAATAATCTTAAATAAAATGTACAAAAAATATCTTCATTTATTTTTAAATTAATTTTGCTCCCTCCCCCCTTTAGAAAAATGTCTGGGGACGCTCATGATTTAACAAATATTATTATTGTATTAATTAAATTTGCTTCATACAAATTATGAAACAGAATTTAGTACATATATATATATATATATATTTTAATATTTAAAATTTATCACTACCCAATTTTGAAAATCGCTCGATCCAAAATTAAGCTTTGACACGCTGGCTGAAGATCACTAACATATTATTATGTATATTAATATTATGTAATAGTATAAGCTACATTAAACAAACCGCTAAATACCACTGCAAGAAATTCATAAAAATATCACTACCTAACAAATTATGAATTATGATGCTTAGACTTGGACACTTCAAATATAATAGTCTAACACTTAACATCAAAATCTTATTTATATGGCTCAATAAAATAAGCACAGCAAAATAATTGAATATATTGAACTTTGTTAAAAATCCGATAAGAAATGTAAAAATCAAATAAAAAATGTATCGAGTAACCCTTATGGTCTTATGTAATTATCTAATTTTGAATAATAATAAAAAAATTTAGGAATAAAGAATTAAAAATGTGTATT